CGTGGCGCCCCCCCCCCCCCCCCCCCGCCGCAATGTTAAACCCACCTGGGAAAGATCTTATTTGGGTCCAGAGACCTTTCTGGGACCACCTGGGATGTCTGCCCATGACCTGAGCTGGCTGAGGCTGGGGGTGTGGCCTGGTGTCAAGAGCCTGTTGGGGGGGCACCTCTCTCTCTCTCAGAATAATTAAATGTAGAAATAAATTTTAAAACTCTCACTCTAAGCTATTACATATGATTATCCCTAATGCATGATGGTTGGTGATGACCCGCAGATGTAACCCCCCCTGGGGCCTGACTCCCCATTCAGCCCCAGAAGACCTGCCTCCCTTCCCCTGCTTGCCACAGGTGAGAGACCTAAGATGCAAGTGTCGTTTCGGCCACAAGGTGGCGCAGCCGTCCAAGGAACCCCGGCTTGGCCAGCGAGGGCAGCCTGAAGGAAGCTGGCTCAGATTTACTGAGCTGTTAGCACAGGCCAAAGCAGCCATTGAACGCAAAAGGGAAATTCATGGATCCAAAGCCCTGGGCTTTGTTCCCAAGGCTCTTGGAAAGGACCGGACACATTTTTCTTTCCAGGAATGGATTCAACGTCAGCTCCCAATGTTCTTATCCTCAGACTGCGTGTGCGGAGATGTATGTGACTCCCAGAACTTACGTTGTGGGGCTGCTGTGGCCTGATGCTGAACTTTATTCCTGAAAAGCAGAGAAGAAGGCAGCGTGAGCAGAGGAAGAACCATGTGGCTCCCGGTGACCTGCTATGGGCTCTTGACTGGGGACACCCAGGATGGTGGGAACTTGGGGTGGGCCAAGTGAAAAGACGGGGGAGGGGGCACAGTGCAGGGCTGGATCCCTCTACCTCCCAGAAGTGACCCCCTGGCTCCCCTAGATGCTCGCTTCTCAGCACCTCACCTCCCGGTGCGATCTGGCAGGTCTGGGAAGCTGCCCTGCCCAGGCGTGCCCACACACCTGCCCAGTGAAGCAGCCAGACCGGCCACCCCGCCTCTCAGTCCCGTCATTAAGTCACAGGGAAAGGACCCTGCAGAGAGCTCTGTGCTCCTCTCCCCACACTCCGCAGCCCTGCCTCGGTTCTCGCTGGCCTGGATTCTCTGTACTTGGAGTAGGACACACTCACACCCACTGCACACACCAGGCCTGGGAATGGAGCGTGCTGCTCCTCTCCCGCTCTGGGTAGTCCCTAAGCTGGGCATTCACTTGCGATTTCCTTTTTCTTTTTAATTTTCCAGAGGGCATGTGTGCTCGCTGGGGCGGGGTGGGGTGGGACGGTGGGGAGAGAAAGCACCCCCTGTGAGGTATGCTTACACTACAACCCTTTCTCCGCCATCGCTCCCTTCTTTCGGCATGTTTTCCGAGCTGCTAGGTCCAGGACTTGAACCATACAGTTGGCTGTGTGTGATCCAGCCGCCTTAACCACCACACCACCCCTGGCCCCACTTTGCAGCTTCCTCAGCTGGCCTAGGGGATGAGCTGACCAGTTCTGATTCAGCCTGGTCTCCTCCAAAGGGCTGAGCAGAAACTTCGAGTGACTGTCTTATAAGCACTTACTGGGGATGTGGGGAAGACGGAGAGGCCATCACTGGCCACACTCCAGAATGTCTTCTCTGCCCACCAGGAGGGCTCTCTCCCAGACCAGGGTGACTCAGGATAACAAGGTCTAGTGAGGTGACCTTTGGCCTTTATACTTTATTTGATCTGTCTTGGAGGAAGATTCTAGAAGCACAAGATTTCCCTTTAGGGAAATTATTGAGAAGTCTGGGCCTCCTTCCCCAGTCCTTGCCTGGTGGCTGAGGCCTGTGGGGCTCTTACTGCTCCCGTGCCATGTGGTGGGGGGGCATTTCTGCTCTGAGGCTTTGCCAAAGCCACAGTCACAATCAGAACCACCATCCCTTAAGTATGAAGAGAGCTAGGGGGCCGGCAGGTGGCGTGGTGGTTAAGGGTGCTGGACTCCCACGTGGCCAACCCCGCTTCGAGTCCCGGACCTGGCAGCTTTGTCACGTTCTCTCTCTCACACACACACTGTCCCTCTGTGGTCAAAATTAAAAGTTAAATAAATAAATAAAGTTAAATTTAAAAAGTTCTTAAAAAAAAGAAGAGAGTTAGAACTTCCAGCTGGCACAGTGGAGCCGTGCCTGACCACACCAGACCGAGTCTGGGCTGCCATCTGGGGAGGGGGTGGGGGGGTCTGGTGGCCAGAGCTTTCCTTGCTAGCTCCGTGTACTGGGGTGGAGGTCCAGTGGCTGGAGCCTAGCTTGGGGGTGGGGACATTGGGTCTTCTTTGCCCCAGAGAGACAGTGGATTTCTTCCCAGGACCTTTTTTTTTTTTTTTTTTTTTAAATTTTTTGTCTTTGGGGGCTGCGTGCTGCTGGAGAGGAGAGACAGGAAGACAGATAGTGGAAGGGAAAGTGAGAAATCATTCCCAAGGGGGATGACTATCACAATCCCATCCTCCTCCTGGGATCTTGGGCATGCGTGCACATGTGCCTGGAATGATTTTCTTTTTTTTTTAAAAAAAATTTTTTATACATTAGATTGCTATATATCATTTAGCTTGTAGAAAGAATTTACACAACATGAAAGACACTCAGACCAATCCAGTTGAGAATACTCTTCATGTTCTCATCAAGAGGTATTAAACCATTTCTGTGTCCCACGAATGTCTTACTTCTCTGTTTTTCTCCCTAATTTCCTTCCTTACACTCTCCCCCTCGCCCACCCTCCTTCCATAGTCACCAGTGTGCTTAACTATTTCCAATGCTTCTACGCCTTCCAATCTTCCAGTCTCTACCGCCTGGAGTGATTTTTCAAGCTGCCAGATCTGGGACTCGAAACACAGTCACCCATATGGGAGTCCAGCACACCTTAACCGCTGTGCCACCTGCTGGCCCCCCAGGGCCCAGTCTTACAGTGTCAGCCAGTGAGTGCCCTGAGCGTGGCCTCCTGCCCGCCAGGCTGAGGCTGTGCCGCACATCTCTCTCACTCACAACGAAGCACGGAGGGGGATGCAAGGACACCCCTGGGCTGGAGAGTCCTGGGGTTGCTAGAAACTTCTTTGAGTCCCAGGAGAGGTGGAAACAAAGGCAGGACTGAGCACGCGCATCCTTCCGCTGCCACGCCATTCCCTCTCCCTCCAGGCTGGAACAGGGGTGTGCACCTTCAGAGCAAAGGGCATGGGGCCCCTCCTTCCTGGGCATCCCCAGGTGTATGCACATACGTATGTGGAAGGCTCTGAACCAGGCCTTCCAGACTCTTCCATGGGGGCTGAGGGGCAGCTCTCAACAGAGTCAGCTGCACCCCTCAGGGTATGGGGTGTGAGCAGTGGCTGGCCTGAGACACAAACCTCCCAAGCACCCAGGAAACATTTCCCTCCTCGCGGCTACCTCCCCCCATGTGCTTCATCCCATCTTCGTGGCTGTCTCCCTCCCAGCTTCCTGAGCTCATTTCTCTCCGGTGTGCGGGGTTCTCTCCTGCAGCCAATGATGACAGATCTCCTCAGCAGAAGGGACCCGCCGCAGCGCTCCGTTTTCCTCCACACTGCCGGGTTTCCTTAATTATTTTCTTCTGGTGACGGCAGCTGGCTCTGCTAAATCACCTCTCCTCCTCTGAGTCTCAGATACGGGAATTTACTCTGCTTGTCACTCCTGTCAACTTGTCAAGGGGCGACGGTGCTTATTTATATTCCTTTTCTGGAGCAAATGAGTCATACCAGAGCTGGCCAAGAGTGGGGCTGAGGAGCCACTTCCGAAAGGCATTCGGCAGCGGGTGAAGTTGAATGAGACTGTGCTTCTCGGGGTTGCAGCCCCCCAGCAGCACAGTCCTCATAGCCTGGGGGTGGTGGGCTGTGGGACCTGCCCCATTCTATGTCTGCAGACTGGGTGGGCAGGCACTGCCTCCCAGACCCCAGACTATGAGCCGAAGGCAGTTTCCCGGCTGGGCCCACTCCGAGGCTGGCCAGGCTGGCTGTTGGCTTGGGTCGAGAGGAAAGCTCCTGTTGGATTGCTCTCAGGGCTGGGGGCCCCTCCCGACTTCTCAGCGGCATTTCCCCACAAAGCCAAGCTGGCCGCCACTGCCTGCTTTGAAAAGCAAAGTCGCAGGGGTCAGACAGTGCTGCAGGGCTAGCACAGCTGGACCCCCAGAAGGGCTCTGGTTCGCCTCCTGGAGCCTCTCTGTGCACAGCAGGTATGCGTGTGCTTGCCCGTGAGCCAGGCTGGCTGGGGCTGGGGGTGAATCATGGCATGGGGACACTGTTGTGGGTACCCCTCTCAGAAGAAAGAACTTACAAGAAAAAAAGCAAAATTGCTTTGTGGATGTAACAGATGCAGTAACAGATAACAGTAACGGGGCAGCTCATTGGGCAAAGAGAATCCTACGGCCACAAGGCTGCTTTTGAATAAAGACAAATATAATGAAGGAAATAGAAAGGACTCTCCCAAGGGCCCCGCGTCCACACTTTTTCCCTGGAGAGAGCTGCGCTTCCATGCACTGCTCAGGGAAAGGTTGGAAGCAAACAACACTCACAGCTCTGGGCCAGCGAAGGCGGAGACCCTTGGGCCTGGGAGGCTGGGGCTGCACACGCCCAAAAGGGCCACACTCAGGACCACGGACAGCTCCGCAGAGAGCAATGGAAAGGGCGGTCAAGGCCCTGTCTCTGCTGCCTCTCGCGAGGATGAGGGTGGTTTGCCACGGGCCTCAGAGGCACTGGGCCATGGAGACTTCTGGGCAGGGAGGCTGGCCTCAGTGTAACTACCACCGGCATAAACGTGCCATCCAGGTAAGTCAGTGGGCTTGCCGAGCAGCGCACGCACACGGCTCCCAGCCTCCTCTTCCATTCAATGTCCCCAACGCTGTCATGCCCCTTGTCTCTCCACCCCCCTACTCCGACAGGAGAATCCCAAGGCTGGCCAGTGTCTGGGTGACCTGTCCTTTTTGTCGATGTAAATCCACGGGAGCCCTGTTACACACCTGTAAGGAGAGCCAATCCCTGCACCGTGAGACATGAGCGGGGTCTCTGTCTGGACAGATGACATGCCTGGAGTGGCTGAAACGCACGCCACACGAGAAGAGCGAGCACCGGTGAGAGTAAACAAGGCGTGAGTGATGGGACTGCCAAGCGCGTTCCACTCTGTGAACTCGTCGTGTTCACAGAGATGTTTTCCTTCGCGCTGTTGGGTGGGGCGCGTCCTCACTGAGGAGGGTGAGCGAGCCTGATGTGTTAATGAGCAGGCTGTGCAGCGGGGTCTGGGCAGGCCGGGAGGGGGCTTCATGCATGTGGGCTGCTGGGGAGAAGGAGCTGCCAGAAGTGCCTTCTCCGCTCCAGTCACAGGACAGACCTGCTGGGTACCACACAAAAGCCCATTCCCCGGGACCCACGGGCAGTGGGGGTTGGGATCCAGCCTTTTGGTCAGGCTGTTTAGTCAGGCAACACTAAGGGTGAAAACAGGCCCCAGGTGCCTAGGAAGGGCTGCAAGGGTCTCACGAGCCCCTGACCCTGCTCCCCACCCTAAGGCAAATCATATTTGAGTGACTAGCAGGTTGCATGGTGTTTAAGGTGCAGGATTCTCACATGGCTCAACTGAGGTTCAAGTCCTAGACCTGGAGGCTTGAAAATCATGCTGGGCATGTGTACCCAAAATCCCTGGAGGAGAGGGGACTGTGGTGTGACCATTCCCCTGGGGGGT